GCTAGGGGTGGGGGGAAGGGAGCCTCTTTTGGCTTAGCCTAACAGCTGGCTCCTAAGAAGGGTAAAATAAGAAGCCAGGCACCAGTGGCTCACGCCTGTAATCCTAGCTACTCAGGAGGCTGAGATCTGAGGATCGCAGTTCAAAGCCAGCCTGGGCAGGAAAGTCCATGAGCCTCTTATCTTCAATAAACCACTAGAAAACCGGAAGTGGCACTGTGGCTCAAGCAGTAGAGCACTGGCCTTGAGCTGAAGAGAGCAGGGACAGCACCCAAGCCCAGAGTTCAAGCCCCACGACCGACCAAAAAAAAAAAAAAAAAGAAACAAGGGAGTGTTCACAACTATGCCTTGTGGCTTAGGTCTAAGCAAGGTAGGAAATCCAGTCTCAGCACCAGGGATTATTATAGGGCAGAGAGAGAGCAGCAGTTAGAGACTGAACATATGTATTCTGTGGGACTGAGCAGTAAAGTACATGTCTGCAAAAGGGAATTCTACCACTTAACCTAGCTTCCTGATCCTCTTCCTCAAAAGATTCTAGGCAAATAACCTACTGCCTTCTACTAAACAACTTACTGAACTGGTCTTTCTCAAGACAAGATGGCAAAGAGTCCCAAATCAAACCCCTGCCTTAGTTAATCACCATTCTTCTCTTCAAATCTTATTCTATGGACTTGATAAATATGAATTGTTTTAGATCAGTCTCAATGTTTTTATGCATTCCTATATTTTCACACAGTGGTCTCTCCTCTTCTCTGTTCATTACTATGTAATCAAGGCTAGCCTCAAACTCACCGTGGAGCCCAGGCTGGCCTTGAACTCCTAAGTCTCCTGCCTCAGACTCCAGAGTGTACTACTACAGCTGACTCATAGAATGACCTTTAAGAGATCATCCTGAGTCAGGCATGATGGCACTTTCCTGTGATCCAAGCACTCTGGAGGCTGAGGGAGGATAGCAGACCGCCATATGGCCTCACCTAGGCTATCTAGTGAGTTCAAGGCCAATTTGGGCTATGTAGTTAAACTCTCTTCTATCTAAAAGGTCCTTTGAGATGGATCATGAAAGGTGAAAAAAAAAAGGGGGGGGAAGGTACAAATATCTTTATCCTATTAGGTGGGTACCGACTAGGTGGTTAGTCAGGTGTGTAGCAATGCACAGCTGTAAACCCTGTTAAGGTAGAGTTCAAGGTCAATCTGGGCTATAGAGGAAGACCCTATTTCCCAGGGGAGATGGGTGGAGAGAAAGGAGAGAGAGGAAAGAGAAGAGAGACAGGAAAGAGAGGAGAGAGAACATGAGAGGATTTGAGACTGTTTAAAGTTAATGAAAAAGATGGGGCTGGGAAGGTGGCTCAGTGGTAGAGTGCTTACTTCGCACGCATGAGGCCCTGGGTTCGATTCCTCAGCACCACATAAACAGAAAAGGCTGCAAGTGGTGCTGTGGCTCAAGTGGTAGAGTGCTATCCTTGATCTGAAGAGGCTCAGAGACAGTGCCAAGGCCTAGAGTTCAAGCCCCACAACCAACAAAAAGAACAAAAATAAAAAATAAAGTTAATGAAAAAGAGGACTGGGGCAGAAGGTAAATGTAGAGTAATCGACTACCATGAATGAGGCTCTGGGTTCTAATCCTCAGTCATTCCCCACCCACCACCACACAGTACAGTCAATAGAAAAGAAAGTTCAATATATTATTTAAATTTACACAAGTGTCTAAAAGAAGAAATAACATGATTGCATAAATAACAGGTATAAAGCCTCTAAAGTTAAATCCACTTTTGTACCAATGAATCAAGAAATCTCAAACACTGGGCTGGGAATGGGGCTTAGTGGTAGAGTACTTGCCTAGTACACATGAAGCCCTGTGTTCAATTTCTCAGTACCACATAAATGGAAAAAGCCAGAAATAGTGCTGTAGCTCAAGTGGTAGAGTGCTAGCCTTGAGCAAAGAAGAAAAGAAGGTCAGGGACAGTGCCTAAGAGTTCAAG